TCAGTATTGTAATTGTCAACATTTTCATTGAATTGAAAATCATTTTGAAGCTCTCTCTTGTGTTCTTCAGTCATCTTCATTGTGTTCTTATTGATTTCTACTATGCTTGATTGTTATTACTTCCGCTGCATTAACACTGTCAAACATATCATCCAAGTAAGTAATCTATACCAAGAAACTGAGTTAATCGATCCAACAATTATGTTTCCAAAATGATGATCGTTACGTTCTAAAAGGAGAGTGAGATAAATGATTAAAGTTGTAACGATTATGCATTTTTATTTTTTCTTCAAAAATAATTTTGATGGCCATTACTTTTTACATATTTATCAAAATACTATTTTATTCTTGACTTCTAAAAAGAAAAAAAAAATACATCCCGCCGCATTGCGCGGGTACACAACTAGCAATTAAGTTAAGAATAACCAAATTATAGTGTTTGAATGAATAAAATGATGAACACTCAAGAACAATGTATGAACATTCAAAGAATAAACTTGAGTGTGAAAGATTTCACTTTATTCCAATGATTATGAAAAACGTAAAAAGTTTCTTTTATTACAATAGGCCTAACCACCTATTTATACTAGTAATCTAATAAGAAGATAACTATCTAGTCAGACTATTTAGCTAATCTTCTACAAACAAATAAAGATTATCTATAACATGGATAAACATTAAACCTAGATAAACTTTGTAGAATCCAGCTGTTGATTGGAGATCTCCAGCTGTCTTCCATGGGATATGAGGTCAACCTTATCTTCATATTTTCATTGCTTGCCTCTGGGTGAACTGGTGAAGGTGTGACATCTGTCATTTTTGAGCTTTAGGTTAGCTCCTTTATAGGGATTCTATATTTAGAATATTATTTTATTAGGATCTAGTCATGATGATTAGAATTCATCTGGCTTAGTTCCCAAGTTATAGTTTAGAGAACCTTATTTCGACAGGTAATTGATAAAGTTAACTTATCTAATGCCAAATATATTAAAAATGCTCCAATTAAAATAAAGTCGATATTAAAAAATCCAAATTTAAAAATACAAAAGTCTCATTTGAATGTCCAAATAATTTTATCAAAAGGTGGAGCTTTGTATTAATAATGTCATTTTTAATAATGTTTGGCAAATTGTATTTTGATTATAAATTAATTGGGCTTATTTATGTTTAAAAGAAAAATAAAAGTTTTATTGGGTTTGGGCCTTTAGAGGCCAGCCCATTTTCTTCTTTAAAATCTACATATAAATACCCCACATCCTTTGAAACTCTCATTTTCAATTATCATTCTGCTTAAACCTTTCCCGCTCCCTAATCTCGCTCTCTCTCTAAATCAAACCCCCTCCAGCCAATTTCATCATCAAAGTACCTTTAGGAAATTTGTCAATCTTGAAGAAATTTTCAAGATTTTAAGAAAAAGGTATTGATAAGCTTATATTTAAACATGTTTTTATAATGAATCTAGTA